TTTTTATTTTTTAGGACACAGCAGGCCAGGAAAGATACAGGACTATCACCACAGCTTATTATCGTGGGGCCATGGGCTTTATTTTAATGTATGACATTACAAATGAAGAATCCTTCAATGCAGTCCAAGATTGGTAAGTTATAACAAATACTCCCATTACTAATAAGATGGTTCTCCATTCAACTCTCTCTTCCTCTGCAAAGCAATGACCATACCATAATGTAATTTGTGTGTTTATCATATAATACAATTCTACTTGTGCTTCATAAATCAAAAAAAAAAATATGTTTGTGTTCAGAACTGTTATTTAGGGGCTGATGAGAAATCATTTTGGTGATTATTCTTCATTTTGTTCATCCTGGTGCTTTGTATCCTGTCATCCTTACATCTGTGGAGACCAGTGCGTTGCTTTTGATTTTTTTAAATATAAATAATGAATGGCTTGGAAGTTTGGCCTAAAATAGGGACCCAGAAACCATGGCCCATGGACCAAGTCTGGCCCACCACTTGTTTAGTAAAGAAATTTTTATTGGAACACAGCCAGGCTCACTTGTTTACTATCTCCGACTGCTTTTACACTGCAATAGCAGAGTGAAGTAGTTGCAACAAAAACCATATGGCCTGTAAAGCCTAAAACATTTTCTATCTGGCTATTTACAGAGAAAGTTTGCAGACCTCTTGTCTAGAAGAGTTGTTAGATCGGTTATTCAAACTGAGAAGTGTCAAAGAACTGAGATGAGGGAAAAAATAAAACCAAAACCCTTTCTGACTCAGAGCTACATCAAGCCACCTCAAAATGCCTCTGTCCTTGGTGAGCGTGATTAGCAGTAGCAGGCCTGACTGAACAGAACCACATTTTAACTCTAAATAGTCACAGCTTATCTTATGTAGGAAATTTTGGCAATATATGGGAAAAACAAAAAGCATTTCTATTTTTTGTTTTCTGTCATATTATCCAAAATGATTTTTTTACATGTATATCAGTTCAGTGAAGGTCATATGCTATTAAAAATTTCAATTTGCTTTAGGTTGTTTCTTTTAAATTTTAGTTGTTCATCTGACTTCTTATTTACATACACACACCCCCAATGAACAAAATAATACCACTGACAACAGCAACTCAAAAGAGAAATACAAAGCTATAAACTGAAAAGGGCAAGTTTAGGATGTACATGAAAAAAATAATTTGAGGAATATAGAAGAAGGCTTAAGGAAACTTCTTTTCAGTAAACTGAATATTGTAAAAAAAAAAAATGTCAGTTCATCTCAATTCATAAATGCAAGGCAATCCCAATTAAATACCAGCAGATTTGATACAAAATGAAATAAAATAGAGTCCAAAGATAGACACAAATCTATATGAGGATTTGGTCATGATAAAAGTAGTTTTCACATTAGTCACAAAAACGCCTGTTCAATTAATATTGTTGTGACATCTAGTTAATTGTCACACGTCGCTCTGGCACACACATTGCCATGCGATATGGTAATGCTAACCTTGGCTATTTCCTCTCTGGGAATGTGGAGACCCAGCACTTCCAGGCTAGGAGTGTTTGTGAATGAGATTTCAGACTTCACGTTTGTACCCATAGTTTTTCTTGCCCTGTTGTTTCAGTGACAATTATTTGACTACTGAGAATACATGGAAGCTTACAGTTAGCTCACTGTACGTTGGCAGTGACACCAGCAGCCATGCTACTGGCTCCGCCAACTCTAGCATCGAAAATGATGTGGAAACCTCCCGCTTCATGCTCTCTCCTCACGCTGTCGCTCTGCAACCCCAGTCAATCTGGGTTCAACCCCACTGATGCTTCCTCACATGTCTGCAGACCCATCTGCCCTATCTCAGTCTTCTTCCCCCTCAAATTCTCTATTTGACTCTATTTACCCACTCTTTCCCTTTGAGGCTCTGTGCCCCATCTTCTGAGGGGCACATTTTTCCAGATTATTCTTTTTTTTTTTTTTAGTTTTTTTTCTTTTATTTCAGCATATTATGGGGGTACAGATGTTTAGGTTATGTTTGTTGCCCTTGTTTCCCCCCCCCAAGTCCGTGTTTCAAATATGTTCATCCTTTGTGGAGTGCACATTGCACAGATTATTCTTGTCTCTCTCTGCCACTCATCTTTCTCCCCCTAGCCGAGGGTAAGTGTGCCCCCATGACACTGACCTTCCAGCTTGTTCTCTATTTGCTTGGCCATCTTATCCACTCACTCAAATTCATTTTTCACTTACACCAGATGGCTCCCAAATTTAGATTTCTGGCCCTAGTCAGTCTCTAAACTGCAAGCGTTGCATTTCCAGATGCCCAAAATATTTCTCCACCCAGACACCCTGCTCGTGCCTCAGAATCACCTGAAACTGTTCACCTTTCTGACATTATTATTTGCCCCCTTTGAAGTGTTTCTCAAATATGTTGTGACTGTTAGTAAACTGTTTACTGCATCTCAGTTGGAACGTGACCTCAAGTACATGCCAGGGTCTTTCTGGTGCTGTGACTCAAAGTGTCTACACATATTGCAGGACATTTTAACTTAAGATCTTACCCATCTCAGTCTTTAGCATCTTTCTGTTCTATGTGTGGTTTGGCCACAGGCTGCTGCATTTCCTGTAGAAGAATGTCATCAGCTTACCCCCCCCATCTTATTTATTTACATTCTACATTTGATGACACAATGAAGAACTATAAATAGAATGGTTTTTTTTAAAGCAGGAAATCTGGTGAGCAGATTGATATTTAAGGAAAAAAAAAAACAAACCACTAGACTGAGGATAAAAGTCTAACAGCATCTTCCCACCAGTTTTAAATAATTCATTTCTGTGACATTCAGGGTACCATTGCAGATGTGCTGGAACCGGAATGAAATTTCACCTTCAAATGTTCTCTTCCTCTGCAATTTTCTCTTTTTCTTTCTTCTCCAAAAATAAATTAAAGTGACCTCATGTTAAGTATGAAAGAATTTCAGCCTGCTAAATACTAAGATAGGATGAGCAATTGCTATGCCTTTGTTCAGAGCTTTCCACTCTGGTTCAAGGCTCCT